CAAGAAACGTGATAGAAAAATTGTAAAGTGCTTCTTGAAGGTTTAGAGGAAAGAAGAAATAATAGAGAAGGTGGAGAAATGAGAAAGTTACAGTCGAAATATTGAAAGAATTAAATGCAAAAAATAACGATAGGAACTGATAACTACATCAAATGAACTTTAAATGAAGTTTGGTGGAGATGAAGTACAACATATGAAAAGTTTATGTATTAATTTACTTAATTTTGTTGACATTTGATATGAAAATCAAGCCAAATGCTGGGTAAGAATTTTAGAAACCATTAATTAGTAGTTGCAAAAAATTTCAATTCCAAAATAAGTATTTGGCTGGAAGATTTTGCTTTGTTATTGTGCCAAAAGATATGGAAAAGATCAGCGAGGTGGAAAAAAGATGAAAAAAATTGGGGAAAATAGATCAAAATTGAAGGATGAACTTTAGATCATGTAAACTTAATATTTGATGAATATTCATCACAAAATTTGGAATATATTGAACTTCAAACTGACACGAAGTGAGGAGAGTCCAAGGGGTACTCAGGGGTAATCACATTTTTTTTTTTTTTTTTGTGTGAATTCATGTATTTTCATTCATCATTTAATAAAAGAAAAACTCGAGTTCTTTGTGTAACTTAGGATCCAAGAGGTTCAAACGCCTGATATACCCTTACATCATTAAAAAAATAGAAAAGACGACATGATTACAGCACGGAAAATGAATGATTCAATGTAAAATAAATTCCAACATAAACATAATACAAAAATCTAAGCTAGCATCTTCATATTTGGATCTTGTTTTTACTCCTTTCTCAATCCCATGGTACCTATGATGCATCAATACTTTATAATATCCAAATATGTAGTTTTTGACATATACAATACATGCCATACGCCCAACACCCAACACCCCCATGACATGCACTTAACTCATGTCAAACATACCGTCAACTTGTCCAAATATATTAAGGACACATGAATTTGATATGAGGGTCTTGAGTTAAGTGAAAAGGCAATGACAAGGATTGCGTTTATGACACTTTTGTTTATTATAATTAAGGGGCGTTTACATATATACCACACAATTCTAATATATTTACATATCTAACACTCCACTTTCATGTTTACGTACACAACACTCAAACCTTTGACATCACGTCAAAAATACCACTATCACTAATTTTTTAAAAATGAAATACACATTTTCATGCATAAGTTTTTTATACTAATGTGTTATAAATGTAAATATCAAATTTTAGGTGTTAGATATGTAAATACATAATAATTGTGAATAATTGTGTAGCATGTATGCAAATTTCCTTAATTTCTTTTTTGTTGATTTTGTTGACGAATAAAACTAAATATATTATAAATTAGAATGATCATTTTTTATATATTTAATTTGTGCAATTATTAGTATAAAAATACTATATTGATGAGTAACATATGTTCATAACAAAATTTGGAATATATTGAACTTCAAACTGACACAAAGTGAGGAGAGTCCAAGGGGTAATCACATTTTTTTTTTTTTTTTTGTGTGAATTCATGTATTTTCATTCATCATTTAATAAAAGAAAAACTCGAGTTCTTTGTGTAACTTAGGATCCAAGAGGTTCAAACGCCTGATATACCCTTACATCATTAAAAAAATAGAAAAGACGACATGATTACAGCACGGAAAATGAATGATTCAATGTAAAATAAATTCCAACATAAACATAATACAAAAATCTAAGCTAGCATCTTCATATTTGGATCTTGTTTTTACTCCTTTCTCAATCCCATGGTACCTATGATGCATCAATACTTTATAATATCCAAATATGTAGTTTTTGACATATACAATACATGCCATACGCCCAACACCCAACACCCCCATGACATGCACTTAACTCATGTCAAACATACCGTCAACTTGTCCAAATATATTAAGGACACATGAATTTGATATGAGGGTCTTGAGTTAAGTGAAAAGGCAATGACAAGGATTGCGTTTATGACACTTTTGTTTATTATAATTAATTTTTGGGGCATTTACATATATACCACACAATTCTAATATATTTACATATCTAACACTCGACTTTCATGTTTACATACATAACACTCAAACCTTTGACATCACATCAAAAATACCACTATCAAAATGAAATACGCATTTTCATGCATAAGTTTTTGATACTAATGCATTATAAATGTAAATATCAAATTTTAGGTGTTAGATATGTAAATACATAATAATTGTGAATAATTGTGTAGCATGTATGCAAATTTCCTTTTTTTTTTTGTTTATTTTTTTGAAGAATAAAATTAAATATATTATAAATTAGAATGCATTCATTTTTTATATATTTAATTTGTGCAATCATTAGTATAAAAATACTATATTGATGAGTAACATATCTTCATATCATTTTTTAAATAATAGATGTTTCTTATGGCTTTGTCGCATCATGCATATGTTTATATAGGTGCATCATAGCAAATTAATTTTTTGAAGAAAACCTAATTGTTTATGTTATGTTAATTGAATGTTGAAAATTCTCCACAATTTATATTTCGAATGAATCTCATCGTTTGCTCTGAATTGAATGTTTCAAGTTATAGTTGTGGAATGAGTATGCTACTAGATACTTTGCTTATTTAAATTCTTGTTGGACTACAAAACTTAACATTACTAGTTTTGTACTTGATTGCACACTTTTCCAGGTTTTTCATTTTTCAAGGTTAGTGTTTTGAAAGCATCCAAGTGCAAAGCCATGCATTAGTACTTCTATTCATAAAGTGCAAATCAAAGTATCCCTTTTATGAACTAGACTTTCGATGGTTTGTATATCATACATACATATAAACGATAGATCATTTAATTAGTAAAATTTTAACAACATCAGGTAATAATTTTCAGCAAATATAAGAATATATTAAATAATAATAATTTTTCAGTCATCCAACAAACAACAACAAGCCTTTATCCCACTATTTGGGGTTGGCTACATGAATCATTTTTCTCCATTGCTTTCTATTGAGTGCCATGTTTTCATTTAATTCTAATAGATTAAGATCATTTTTTTATACAACACGCCCAAATTTTTTTAGGTCTAGCTCTACCTTTCTTTGACATAAGTCGAATCTAAATTATCTACTTGTCTAACTGGATCATCTGATGGTTGACGTTTAATGTGACCAAACCATTTAAGACGACTCTTTCTAATCTTTTCTACCCTTGGAATACACCAACCCTATCACGAATATATTTATTTTGGATTTTGTCTCTAAATGTCAAGTCATTCATCCACATAAGCATTCTCATCTCAGCACGTAACTTTCTCTTATGCTTCCATGTTATCCGAAAGCTAAAAAAATAGCAAAGATATAAATAATAAAATAGTTAAATAATACTTAAAAATAAAATAGTCATGAATTAAGAGACCAGCTAGAGACCAAGAGGTGGTGGCGACTTTGCCATGTGAAAGAGATTGTGAATATGAGACATTGAGAAATATATTCTCAATATGATGCTTCTGAGCGAATGTTACTAGCGCTAGCTGCAAGAGACAATAAGAAGTGTATAACAAACCTAGCAAGCAAGAGAGTGACGGGAAGAATCACCAATAAAATTATAACTTTGCTAGGGTGCAGGAGAATCAATGAGCAATGACTTGGTGACTATAAGAATCAATGAAGGGTAAATGATCATGCCTAACTGTTGAGGCAATGCTGAACCAAATCTTGAAATTTGAACCAGGATTTCATTTTAACTCAGAGGTAAGTACACAAAACTACAAAGCGATGCTTTGTTGCAACCTTGCACTTCACATGCAAGCGATGTGGAGGGTCAGCATATTACTTTGCTTAAAGTGCACTTCTAATAACACTGTTCAAGGCATGATTTTCACTATCATGAAGCGATCATCCTCAACAAAGGTCCTCTCATCCCTAGTTATATCCATGTTGATTTCAAGCTTGCTGAAGAAAGGGGATTATGCTTCATATTGTAGACAGCACTAGTGGGAATTGTGATGCTAATGCTTTGTAATGCTGAGATGGTCTTGTGCAAAGTAGATGCGTGGTCAAATTCCTAGTATTCATAATCCAATATTTTCCTGAGAACATTCAACCAGATGTTAACTATAACTAGAGATGTAAAATTGTTACAAATGGCTTTTTTGTTTTGCTTGTCAGTGGAGCTCTTTCATGAATGCATGTGCTCAAAATTGAATTTGGCAGACTAAATATCTAACTGGCTCTGCAAACCAAAGATTAAAATGGCTTTGCGAGTACTAGAAAATTTAGTGTTCTTAGGCCATGATTTCAGTTTGTAAGTCAAGATGTTATGTGTCCCCCTCAAGAGGGCTTTAAGAAACACCTTGTAGTTGAAGCATTTTGCATTGTTTATGTATAGACTGAATAAGGTTTTCTACGGTTGAAGCATATTTGACACCATTTTGAAAATGTATCGTTTCCTTTATAGGCAAATATGTTTAACTCATGTTGCGTCCTTTGAGGAAAATGTTGGATGTATGTTTTTGAAATGACACATTTCCTTGTTGCATACATTTTCCTTTAATGCTTTCCAAATTTACTTTATTCTATAAGTTACTCCTGTTATCACATTTATGATTCTTATTTTCTTGGGATACAAGTACGAGATGTTTTCCTTAGTGAAATTGTAGATTTTTTTGGCTTTTATAGGCACAATTCCTACTGTTATTTGGACTGCTTTATTTTTTTTTCTTTTGCTGTTGGCTTTATAGTCCCTAATAATTGAAGCGTTCCTGGGCCATTTTGCTTGTTGACTGAGACAATCTGTTACAGTTTATTTTCATTTCTTTTAGTCCCAGCTCTGTACACTCTTGAAATCACTATATATTAAACCAAGTCAAAATCGGGCTACTCTTTCTCCTTTATCGTCATAATCATAACAATGTATGCTCGTCTTTATTCACGACCTTAGTTAAGGCTACGTAGCAGTTATGGAATTTCTTAACTTATCTGGATTTCAGGGGATGGAGGCAACTTGTAGGGTTATTGTGGAAGACACTGAATGTGCCTTCTTTGATAAAGTTGAGAAACTAAAGAACTTTGGAGCCCGGAACAAGGAAAGCATCGCACAACTACTATGGGCATTTTTCCACTTTTGGGCATACTGGCATGATTATACAAATGACGTTATATCTGTACGTACTGGAAGAATTATTAGGTATGCTTTCTGTGACTCTCAAATGTACACAAATTGAGTTTTTACATTTTGCTCTTTGTGCTTATTAGCCTGGTTAGTCCATCTTAGTAATGTGTGGGAAATAAATATCAGATTTTAGATTTGCAAGCTCATTTGGGCATCCATCCCTCATAAGTACTGCTGTATATTGCAAAGTCTTTTTCAGTTCTCTGCTAAAACGTTAGAAGAGTTAAAGCACTTGGTTGTTTGCTTCCGGCATGTCTGGCTGCATCCAATTTGGATTTCATCATGTTTGATATTGTTGAAATTTTGATTTTCCATCGCTTGTCTAGATGACTACATAATGTAGCGTCTGGAATAACAATTTACTAAAATCTGTTTAGAAGATTTTTTTTTTTTTTCCGAGGCCAAACAAAAAAAATAAATAAATAAATAAAAGATGAAGAAAAAGAAAAGAAAATCCATATTTACAGAATCCTTTTAGTAGAGATAAATTGACAATAAACTACTTTCTTTACATCTCAGCTTGTATCCACTTGAGTTTGATATTTATTATGTGCCCAACCATACAAAAAATTTAAACTTAATACGGATCATTTCTGCTTAAAAATGTAATTTTACTTTTATTCTAATTATTCATACAATAATGAAATTGGTTTTGTCAAAATATGGCTTCTAGAACCCATACACTCTTGGTTATTCATTTTGAAGTATTATCTCTATTTATCATTCTCTCCCTCTCTCACCCCAAAGCCCCCTTGCCCATCTTTCTCAACACCATATTTCTGTGAAAGATATTGTATGCTTCAGCCACATAAATTACTCTATAGTTATTTCGCCAGAGATTTCATTCTCAACTAAATATGTATAATCAGGGTAAATGGAACCTTGATATATGCTTAGTTTTCACCTGGTAATGCCAACATTTAAGTAGAGCAGATCATCTACACAGAATCATCCAACATAAATCATAGAGATATATACATGTTTTTGTTCATCTTACTGAATCTCAAACAATGTTATTGAAATACATATTTTCTCTCGCACATAGTTAGCTTTATGCTCTCTTTCAGTAAGCAAGAAAAGGATTGGACGAGACGGATTGGTAACGATCGCCACCTTATATGCATTGAGGACCCTTTTCAAGTTTCGCATGATCTCGGCCGCGTGGTCGATAAGTTCAGCATCAAGATTCTGAGGGAGGAATTTGAAAGGGCTGCCGATATACTGCAATATGATCGGAATCCGACTGTCGCTCTTTTTGAGCCTTATATACCAGGCTCTCCTCCAAAATTGGGTCCCACTGAGGCTGATGAGTCAATTTAGAATCAACTTCATTCTATATCTAATATCTATATATAATAACATTTTGGTATGTGAATTCATGATTGTGTTGTTTTATAGGGGTTTGTGATTTGTATGCTAAAGTTAAAAGAGTTTAAGGTTGTTATTAATGGAGGATGTTATGGCATCCAGTGCAGTCTATGAGTTATATTAGTCTTAATTGTATATAATCCATTAAGCGTATCCTAAAAAATGTCTGGCATATTTGGTAAGTATTTTGTGCTAATATTAAAGATAAAGTTAGCACTAAAAATCTTTTCTGAGCTTTCCCTTGTCGAAATCTATAATCTTTTCTCGCATCTTATGTTGGCATTTGTTAGGGAGTTTGTTATACATGTGAGATAAGAGAGAAGCACCAAAATGGTTTGATAACTTTTTGTAGGGGGCATATTTTAGATTGGGAGTTTATAAATATGTCAATTTTGCCCTCCATTGTGGCTAAAAGAGTTCTCCATGGTGATTATTTTGGCCTGAATATTAAAAGAGTAGGGGAATTAATTTGATGCTTTTGATATTGAAGAATTATTTTGGAACTTGAATCAATACAAATAATTTATAATAATCTTAGTTGTGTCGTGTTGCCGCTCTCTCTCGCCGCTGTAATGTATGTTTGTAGCTCCACACAATTACATGAATTTCAATTTTTGTTTTTATAAAACTCAAAATATTTGTATCATATGAAAGTATTAGTATTACTCTCTTAAAATATGAAATATATATTTTTAATGTATGGGTAAAGTATTACAAATGTAAAGATCAAACTTTAGTTGCTAGATACGTATGCGGTATGTATATAAATATTCTTTTAACTTATTGCTTTTGCTTAATATGGCCTATAGTTTAATTATATATATATATATATTTAAATGAGAATCAATTTTTGATGGCAATTGGTGAAACCGTGAAAGCAGCCTACCGTGGGTTGGTCTTCTTACCATACTTCAAGAGAAATTACGTAGTACTAATAAGAAATAAAATGAATGTAGGTAAAAATAAATTGATATTGAAATTTTTGAATTTATTTGTTTTTAAATAATTTGATAGAGAGGTAATTGCTTTTAGAAAAAAATTTACATCCAGAGTCAGGATGTTCCGGCAACGGTTCGAATGCAGCAAAAGAGGGGAAGAATCGGACCCCTGCCCTCCTCGATACATCCGAGCTGTTGTCCGGACATCCGGAGTCCGGATGTAAAATTTTATTTTGCTTTACATGATTTTTGGTGTGACATAAATGATTTGGGTGGTGTAAGTGTATTGGACAAAGTTCAGGCTTTAGATATGTAAATACGAAGAAAATGGGTGTTGTGTATGTAAAATGCCATGGGCCTCCTGCCTCCTATTGTGCTTATATTGCAAGATATCTGCACATTCATTGTAATTGTTATTCTTGAAAGTGTTGTTGGCTTAAAAGTTGGATTTGGAAACAAAAGTAATTAATGTTCCAAGATTCCTTTTGCAATCGTTTGGATCTACTTAATGGGGAAGTCTTTCGACTCTCATATATGACATCAATACCTCTATTGTTTGTTTTCATGTTGCATCCCTTTAATGTGCTAAATTCTTCGGTTTACTTTTAAAGTGGGCATAGCATTGTTTATTTGCCTACTAGACTGAGACGAGCATAGGTTAAGAATTTTTTCTTTAATCATGAGATATATGTATACAACCTAAATTTTTCATATCACATAAAAGTATCACTAAGTTTACTTTTAAAGAGTGAATTCATCACCTTTTCATTTATAGTTAAGATGGCATGTGTAAAAATTAAAGTTAGGTGTTAGATATTTAAATACATAAAAATTAAGTGGTATGTATGAAAACCTTCCATAACAAAAAATACATAAATTCCGTAACATCAAGCAAGCCCTCAGCTGTCATATATGGCATACACATGAGTGGGCAGCCCTCTCATTGAGAAGAACACTGAATCTATTTTATATTCAGCTCAAATTATTCAGCAAATGGCTTGAAATACTACAAGATACCAAATTTTGTGGAATGTTCTCCCAAAAGCGAAATTAGAGACAGAATTCTAATTTCTTATTAATCTAGATGAAAACACTCGACAGTTAATATGAATTGAATAAGTGGCTGTTCAAACAATATTCAAGAAGAGTGATTTGTGGGATCCCTTAATTATAGACAGGAATTTAGGATCTTAGTACTATAACAAAGACTACAAAATCTCCATAAAATAAGCAAATATGACTAATATATTTTTCTTATTTGATTTGAAGAAAAAGAAGATTAATGTAAAATACGCCTGTCAATAATGGTTGCGGCGGCTACTGTGGATGGTGTAATAGCGGTGGCAACAACCGGGTTTGTAGGGGAAGAGGACCGATGGTCGGCAGATGTGGCGGGCTATACTTCATACAAATCAGTATATTTAGAATTCACTCAAATCCAATAAATTTCAAATACATTGAATCAGAAATAGAGAACGAATTTGAAATATATTATAATTTGACGTTGGTGAACCCGCCCAAACATTCCCTTGCTCTTTCACCACTATACATTTCCTTGAAGAAAAGAGAGTGAGGGAGCGAGCGAGACACAAATGTGAATTAGGAGCTTCTATATTTCTTAAATATTTAATTTTATATTTAAATGTTAAAGTTTCCCACATGCTTTTGATGTAAGAAATATTTAGACCCTCCAAGAGTGGAAATAATAAAATTCATACAAACAAATGAAAGCAATGAAGAATGAGAAGTGAAACCTACGTACTGCAATGAGGAGTCTAAAACATGTATTTGTAATATATTTCCACCTGGAGCTGCTTCAATCTTCTTCTAGCTGGGAAATAATGCTGAGGAACACTTGGAAACCTTGGCACATATCTGAAAAGAGGCAGTACTCATTCTTCGCATGGTATGTATCCATTATGCCTGTAATTGTTAAGAGTAATACATGATAAGAAAATGTATCATTTGCAATAAATGAGAATGAGCAGAAGAAGAAATAAGCGCGTTTGATCACAATCATGAATGAAATTATACGTAGATCCAATTTAATATAGAAGGAAGTAAAATAATATTTTTACAAAGATTGTATGATCATTTCAAATGAAAAAAAAAGGGAGCAAAACAATACAAGTCACTAGATGCTTAAAAACTTGGCTATTTATAAATCAGATATTCTCATATACCTACATGAATCAAATTCTTAATCAAATAAAAAAACTCAACAAAATCTCAAACTGCACGTTTCAGTTTTCTCAAATTCTTGACACTTGGATCCTGTCACACGCAAATATAAATATTTCATTTTTTCTTAATGAAATTATTATTAGTATGGAAACCATTAAAAAGGCATTTGCATGCATAGCACACAATTCTTATGCATTTACATATCTCACACCTAAACTTTCATATTTACACACATAGCAAAATTAGAGATGAGAAGATCCAAGGAAGCATGGGATTCATGAAACCAAACTTTGATACCATGTTTCGTGAAGAAAATTGAATGTTTTTATTCACTAAGCAATGTAACCTATATATCAGCATTTAACATGAACACTATATTTAAGGAAGAATCAATGTAAATCATCATAAAATACATACTATCCTTCTTTAACAATTTTCTAGTATTGCTTACTAAGGCATTAATAGTGATGAAGTGTGAGGGCTCAAAGAAGAGCCCTCAGGGAAAGAATGAGAATTAGAACTCTCTTAACTTCCGTTGAAAGTCGATATTTATAAAGGTGAGGATGAAGGGAAATTTAAAAGGACATCCGAGAGCTCTGGATTTGCCCCCTTACATATCCCACCTTTCAGCTGCCGCTTCATGAGCAAGCCAAGATTTGCCTCTTGTAGCTCACAAGGACAAGAAAATGAAGTAGCTTGCACCTGGAAACTCTAGCAAGGACCAACATACCAAGGTTGACAGCCATGTCCAAAGCAGTGTAAGCTCAAAAAAAAAAAAAAAAAAAAAAAAAAAAAACAAGTAAACAACCATATTTTGTGCCTTTTTTATTTTACAAATACAACAACAACAAGCCTTTATCCCACTAAGTGGGATCGGTTACATCAATCATTTTTCTCCATTATGTCTTATTGAGTGTCATATTTTCATTTAATTCTAATAAATTAAGATCATATTTTATACGCCCAAGTTTTTTTAGGTCTACATCTATCTTAAATCGAATCTAAAACACCTATTCTCCTAACCGAATCATCAAATGATCAACGTTTAAAAAAATAATGAAAAATATGGGCATCACACTTTCTAAGCATGAAAATGAACAATTAAACCATCTAAAGCTAAATAAGTCAAAAAATGTGGAAGAAAAAAAAATGTATCCATCACCTGGTTTCTTTGACCAATAAAACTGACATTTCAGGGAAATGCTTTCAAACCACAGAAGGGACACCGTAATAGAATTAACATTATTTCTCATAATTAATAAAAAAAATATAACTTACTAGTAGATTTGAATAGTAAAGCCCAAAATATAATTTTAAGAGAAAATAGGTAAAAAGTTGCAAGTCAAGTTGCCTGAAAATACAACATTTTTGCTTTTCAAGTCCCGGCTTATTTTAAATTTCAATCGTTAGAAGGTAGATTACATCGAAAAGCTATAGCAATCTCACAAGTGCTAATAGAAACCAAAAACAAAAGCTAGATTACATCTAGAAAGAACAATGATTTTCCGATGGTCCACTTATTGAAAATTCAAATTATTTCTAGAGAAGTTCAATTTCAAAAGATAGAACTACAATAGGGAAATAAGCTTTACCATATCCTGAAGTTTGAACATCAAAGCCTTCTTGCTATAATAAAAAAAAATAAAAATCAAAACAAAATATGTGATTCAGTTCCTAGAAAAATAAGAATAGAGTTGAAAGATTGATTAAGATAGAAAATAAACCTGCAATTCACTAATCAAAGGCAAACTTCCAGTAATTGAATATGGTTTTACATATCCAACCACTTCTTCAGTCGCTTTGCATAGTACATGAAATCCACGGGAGTTGAGATCACAAGCAAGTCCAGTCATTGCAGCCTCATCAAAACTAATAGTAAGCCTGTGTAAAAACTATCCATTATTAAAAAGGAAAATAAATATAAAATTGCAGAGAAAACCTTTGGGCATCGAGTTAGTTATGTTGGATAGAACAAAAGTTCAAATACATCATATAGCTATTAAATCTTAAGGAAGAGGGTTGTACCTTCCCCTCAAATTTTCATCTGGAAGAACATATTTTGATGCTGGTCCACGTATATCAAGCTTTTCTATATTTGCATTAATGTCATCTACATACTCCTGCAATTTCCTGGTTACTTCTGTCGGGCTGTACAGGACCAAATAGAAAAACATAAGCTTTGCTTGCTTTCCATGTTTGAGAAGAAAAAAGAAAAATTTATCAAATTTACTGGAAAAGAGAGAAGATTAATAATCATACCTGTAGAAAGGAGTCAACCTGCAACATTTGGGAAAAAAAAAAGGAATTAAATGCATATTACAAACACTGATATCATAAGAAAAACAAATATATAAAGTGAGCTATATCTATCTACAATTTGTTCACTGGTAAACTATTAAATACATATATCAAATTGCAAGAACGCTGCCATCTCGCACATAACTTGATTGTTCGCATAAATGTTTGTGCAAGTTAATGTGATTAGCTTCTAGAAGGACGCTACAATTCTCGAAGGATTTTAAATCAAGCTTACTATGGACCATTTGAGGTCGAGAAAAATTATAAATATTCTCCAGCTATAATAGTTGCACCTAATATTAATATTTCTATGAAAAAATCATTAAAAGCTCATTTAAAGCATGTCAAACACAAATGTGTTTAGTATATTGTATGATCAAATTTAAACCTTTTAAAAAAATTATCGTCAATGGAAATGCTTAAATGATGAGTGCATGCATAAAAACTTTTACAATAACAAAATGATTCTACATCCAATTCTTTTGAATTATAATATGCATCTGGGTCTACACAGTCATGAACCTAAACAAAGTTGAAGAAAAGTTAAATTTGAATCTGACAGCACATATGAGTCAAATATCAAATAAATTTGAATCAATTATTAAGTGTGAAACTGAGCAAATCATTCTTATTGAAGATGTTAAATTAATTAAGCAAACTGATATAATTCTTAAGATATTATCTTGTAATAATATCCGTATGAGAAATAATCAAACCAATATTGATTTAAATTTGGTTCAACATTTTCATACTTATTCATAAAAATAGCCTTATTGATAAAAACAAACTTCATCAACACACTTACAAATTTATTTCTGATAACTCCTTTCATAAACATAATTTTAAAATCACATATATCTGATTGAATCTAAAGATACAAAAGTCATCAAAATCAATCGTGAAAACATTTGCATTACTTCATGATAGACAAATAATTTTCTTATAGTTAAGTACAAAAAAAACTTAATGACATCTAATAATATACATATTCAATTCTTTCATCATTTTCCCATTTAGCAAATAGTTGTAGTACATTCATTAGCAAACAAGTATTTTAAATTGTATACAAAAAATATGACAGCACGAATCTCAAAGCAATCCGACGTCCAGGACAAAAGACGATAATCTGAGGGTCAAACGACCGGTCGACAACACAACATGGATCTCAAAAAGAACAGCGTTTAGAGAGTAGCAGAAAATCACCAAAGGATCTAACGATCAATCATGCACCAAATCATCTGATCGGTTAGCAAACCAAAAGTTTGGAGGTCATTCAAAGACAACCGACACGACTTGAGATGATCGATCAGATATCAACACCCCGGTCAATCAATTACTGACACAACCAGAATTCGATCGACCGACGATCGACAGACTCAATATCGATCGGGTACCTAATTTAATATTTTATTATATTTTTCCTGTAATCGTAATAGTCATACCCCTACGTCCATAAAAACGGGTCATTTCACGGTAAAATATTACGCATTTCATGGTTTTCTATTGTTTCTTTTTTATCCTACTACAGCCTATTCCTTGGGTATGTTTCTTAGACACTTTTGGATTCAACATAAATGTCTTTCGTGTATGCTTCATGAATTAGTTGTAAGTATGATTTACATGAGAGTATATGCAAGAAACCTCTAGGTAACCATAACAATTATAAATCTAATTCAATTATAAGAAGAAAATATGTGAAACTCAAACCAAGTGAAACGATAAAGATCTACTTCAACACTAAAATATTTCTAGAGAAATCAATAGAAAAATAAAATCATACGAGGTCATACAATAAATTGGGATAGAGAATTACAATAAAAAAGATGGAGACTTACAAGCACCAAATAATAATAATAATAATAATAATAATAATAATAATAATAATAATAATAACAACAATAATAATAACGGTTCAATTTTTAATGTATGTGATTCAATCACCACTACTTATAAAAAAAATTTTGGCACCACTTATTTAAAGGTACTTTTAAAAAACACAGCTAAAAATATTTAAAAAATGCATAAAAATATTTAAAACCGCAGCTAAAAACCTTTGTAGCACCAGAAATTGCAGTGATTTAAAATCAACTGCAATGAAAATATGAGTGATTTTTACCTCTATGACTGCCTATACAAAATGCTGTCAAAAATCTTTTTTTAGTAGTGCTTATATCATGAACAATCAATCAATGTCAACGCTTCTTCTCTCTTTCCTCCTCTCACTTCAAATATCGCATCCAATACATCATCTACATGTTAAAGAAATTGTCATACTAACTTTGTTCTTGAAACTATATATTGAAGATGAAGTTGAGTTTATTATTGATGCTTGTTATCAAAGGTATCTTATGTAATTAAGAGATAAACTTATCTACAATGATTCATAGATATTTTTACAAGGAATGCAAGAGATACATCTATGTCTATTTGAAGAATATTGAATAAATAATTCATCTAAGTCAATTTTTACCAAGATAACCAAAATTGATGCGAGACAACTGCTCTTCAACAGCTTAAAATTCATGATAGAATCCCCGCAGTTCTCTATTCATTTAGTTGTCTAAAATCATCTGCCTCTAGTGGTTTCTAGTGATCCTTGATTTATTTGGTTGTGGCTTCTCTGATCTTCCTATTTTTGGTAAGGGCATCCTGCAATCTTTCGTTCTAAAGCTTTCGTGGCAATAGAATTATGATTCAATCTAATATTCATAGAGTTCAGTGGCCATTGTATTTAGTATTTTTTTTATTAATTATTGAACTTAAGTGGTACTCTCACACTTATCATTGGATTCTAACAAAATTTATTCCTTACTAAACTCTAGTGACTCTCTCGGCTACTTCTTCAATGATTATTCTTTTTATGGCTCTTTCTTAAGTAATTTTCTTTTAACCCTGAAAAAGTTTCATTTCTATTATATTATATGATCATAAATAAGGATCTTAGGCATTGAAAAAACCTTCATTTTTCTTGAATCGAAATTGAAGTTGGATGTGTATTCGTTCAAGTTTAGGAGGTCAACTTATTGATCAAACTAGAGACTTGAACATTTTTGTGAAATAGTGACTCCTTATACAAGTGTGAGGCTTCCTTTTGATGAATTATTTATCCTCTATTTTTACCATGCTCCAAATTGGGTTGTTGGTTAGATAACATAATTGATTCTAATCAAATTCAATATACTATGATTTTCAAAAGGTGCCTAAATTGATCATTTTTGTGGATTTCTTGCTTCTAAATTTCTGGTCTTTATTTGAAGTAAAAGAACATTTAGTTTTTATCTAAACTGGTTTCTGTCGTATTTTTTTACTTTTATTAAAGATTACAAGTTACTTGCAAATTTCATGTTGCATTATTTTTTGCCTCTCACATAGATTTAAAACAAAATTCATTGATAGAAAGGTTGAATTAGAGGTTGGCAAATGGTAACCCCTCGCATCTTGCCACCTAACTTTATTCTTGGCTTTTATCAAAGATAAACAACTTGTGACTTGCAAATTTTTATGTGAGTTGCAATAATTCTTGCTTCTCATATAGATATACAACAAAAATCATTGACCCAGTAGAAAAATTGGAGGGTGGCTAATATTTGCCCTCCCAATTGGGATAAACTCTATTGTACCTTATATATGACATCAAACTTTTGCCCTAAATTAAATAAAATATAAAATCTTTGCCCCCGTTACAATTGGGATACCCTTTGTACTTCCTCTCCTTTTAATACATGATTTATCCACTGCCTAAACTAAATCATGAGATGTCTTATATTAATACCCCAGCTAATAATCCATGATGATATTTCTTACAATTTATGTACTAAAAAAAGATCAAATTGCATATATTATATACATAGCAACTACCATTTATGTATTAACAAAATTAACACCGATGTTATTTTTTGGAACCATCATGTGAATTTGATAAAAGTGAAAAATTCAGGTGGGGTGTTATAATGAATTTCAACATTCGGGAGAAAATTTGAAAAAACGATGCAAGAAGGTGCTAGTTTTGTAAATAATGATGTTTCAATTGCTAAATACATCATTTCCAATTGATTCTTACAAGAATGTTAAGTTAAATTTTATTTATCAAATTAAAACTACAAACTAAGTACATCTTTTAATCAAATTCTAATCCAACAAAATGCAAAAAAAAAGGAAATATGGCATTATCAAATGCATAGGTTGAACAAATACATAACAATACGCACACCTTACATCACCCGATATTGAGCATTCCGCCGGAATCTGATTAACACCACCCCCTGGATCTGCAAAAATTAACAGCCAAAATATGAATTTGCGTTCTATAAATAAAAACCATCCTAAATCATTATAATCAGCTATATGCTATTAAATAATTGTAAAATTATCAAAGCTCGCACTTGCATTCAATAAAAGTTAAAATGGCTTACAGTTCCATTGTGTTGGTTTCATAGTTGATGGTGTAGCAAATCCATATACCTTCTCCTGAGGATGCGAAGGAAAATCTTGATAAAAGCGTGATTGTATCACCTTGAGAGCTTCCATGGCCAACTCCAAAGGATTGATTGCCTGTCACATCGACTTACTTTATAAGCTTCTAGCTTTTTTACTACTCATTATCCAAAGCGTTTACATACATACCAACCAATTCCAATGTATTTACATATCTAAAGCCTAAACCTTCCTTTTTTACATTTATAACGCCCAAATCTTTTATATCACATAAGAAATAATACTATTTTAACTTTAAAAGTTTGAAATCATGCATAGATAAGGCGGCATATATGAAAAAATTGAACTTTAAGTGAATAAGTAAATAAATAAGAATTGAGTGGTATGTATGTAAATCTTCCAAATAAAGAAAAACCACATGTAGTACTATATCCAAACTGGGAAAAGAAGACAATCAAATAAAATATAAGCTACAGGCCTAGCAATAATCCAAATGGAGTCTCACAGGTGATTTAAATCAAATTAAAACCACACAATCATTAGAAAAGAAAAAAGGATAATTATTACCCGAAACGTTTCTCGAATAGAAATTAGTTTAATTAAGAATGAAATTGCAAAAGCAGATCAATAATAAGATCACAAATCCTGAACAATCACAAGCATTTACTCAACGTTCTCCAAAGCTCCCATAATCATGCCATAACAAAATTATCAGAAATCTACACATAAAAAAGTTACCTTGTGGGGCAATCCGCTGTGGAAAAGCTTTCCTGCAGCTCGAAGCTTCCAACTAATCATCCCACCGGTACCAATGCATGGCTGCTTGTCAGCAGTATCAATCCAAAACCTTTAATAGACCGCCATTAAAAAAAACGAGTCTCAAAAGTTAAAAGTTTTCATCTTCAATAAATCCACAAGAATTCAACCATCCACCAACTATCAACAGCAGATACTCACAAAGGGCCATGTTTGAGCTTATCAAGAAGCCCATCCTTCACCAAAGCATCCACACCTATCCCAAGCACGGATGAATTTTCCTCATTGGCGATAAAAACAGCGACCACCGTATTCTTGAGCAGCGGCCTCGCTTCGCCGAGCTTCCGCATGAGCTCCGTTACGAGGGCGACGTGCCCCAAGCAGTCCGTCGTCCCACGGCCCTTCAGCTTGTCACCATCCACGCTCAAAGAAAAGGGATCAAAATCCTGCCATTAGCCAAACGCTAGAAACATTATCCATTATATATCGTGATAATCAAAGTTTGGCCAACCAATAAGTGTTATCGAGAATTTGATCAATTTAGAACCCTAATTAAGTTGGTATTTTACAGGTAAATTATTGTAGTTCTATCCGCATTATAACACTTTCACTCTAGAGGTTTTCAAGCCATCGTTCTTTCATGATAAAAAGAAGGCAAACACACTCCCATGCGATTGGCAAAAAAATCCTAAGAAACAAAAAAAAAAAAAAGCGCAATCGAATGAAAGCAAACCCAGGCGGCCGGATCGGCAGTGACGACGTCCATGTGACAGCCGACGAAGGAGAGGATCTTGTCAGGGCAGGAACCAGGGTACTCGACGATGATGTTACCGCGGCCCTCCGTGTAGCTGATGTGAGAGACGACAAGGGGACCGCCGGCAGTGGAGGTGCTGAGAGGTAGAAGTGCGTCAAGAACATGGCGGGCGACGCGATCTTCTTCGGGGATGAGATCGGGGGGGTTGTTCTGAACGTGACGGGCCTCTCCGACGATCTTTGAGAGGAGGGAAACGTAAGATTCGCGGTCCAGAGAACCTATTAGGTCTTTAAGCGAAGGAGAGTGAGAAGCCATTTTTCGCCGGAGGTGGAGAAGCGGAGAAAGAGGAACGGAAATCCTTTGGGACTGCGGTTCGCGTGTGGGAAAACAAACTGATAAATAAAAAGGGTTCTTTTTGGTCAGGGGTAATTACGTACTTCTATAGCTGTAAGGGTTTTTCTTCGTTCATTCGAAATAAAATACGTTTGGGATCTCGATTTTAATATTCGTGTTTGTGTTCCGCTCTATTTATATATTCGTGTTTCTCTTCGACTCGAAATTAGTTCATTTTGAATTACAAAAATTTAATAATAGATATTTTATATTAAAAAACAGCTATATGAAACTAAGAAAAAGTTTGTTGTTTTAATAAATTGTTTACAAATTTTAGGGAGAAGATGTGACAAATTACATATAATTTTACATCAAAAAGTTTAATAAAAATAAAAATATGTCATTACTAATTACAGAAAAAAATAATCACAATGCTAAAAGCCTAAAATAAAATAAAATAATACAAAGAACAATTAAAAAACCTATTTTGACTTGTTGCATTTCTTGAAAGTTGAAACATTTCATCAAGATTATTTTTTGAAATTTCATAACTTCCAATCCAGCATGCACTTCACGAGCAAAATCTCTGATATCCTGACTCGTGATTTAAAACAAATAATTTTGTTAACTTTTAAGAAAAATAAATAAATCAAAAGCTCAATTCCGTTATATTAACTCACCCTGCAATCTTAGAACATCATCTCATAATGATTTAGTCAATTCAAGAACTATTTTTGTCGCTGCAGCGAGTTGAACAACCAATTGAACTTATGATAAAACATATATGAAAATATATGTGTTAATGTGTTAGGGATGGGTTCAGCTTAAACTTTCAGCTATAATAATACATTTTGAAGAATTTCAATAAGCAACCAGAGCATCAATGTGCATAAATTAACCCTAAATAGAAGTTACCAGCAAGACAATCAAAAGAGGGCAGCTCCAAATCCAAACAAAATAACTACAAGTTGACATATAAAAAGTAACACTCAAAATTCACAACTATCATAATATAAGTCAATTAAACATTTGGTTAGAACCAGCTGCAGCCCAAGTTAATGACAAATAAGACATAAAAAATTAAATCCAAAAATTTTCCAATCAAATAGTCCACAAGTCATTCAAATTTTGGGCTAGAGCCACCAGCAACACAAGAATAAAAGCGCAACTCTAAACCAATTATTAGTAAATAGTAATATCAGTCCTAAAACATTCATAAATCTTAAGGTTAAGAGGCACATTATCACTCTATTAGCACCAACATAATAAAAGATGCCATAACAAATGTATACATCATTACCCATATTCCTAACACTAATAATTTATAAGCCAGCTCAATGATTCACATAATATCACAACAATTTGAATACTATCAAGTGTCATGCAGAACATAAGCAGAATAATCTTGAGTATCAAATAATGACCATGAGCAAAACATTATGCTACTTCAAAGAAATCAGAAAAATACAATCAGGCATCAGCAGAAAAATCAGCTTTTGAAAAACTGAATGTCGAATACTCCCAATCAATTTAAGCTTACTTCATGGTACCGGCCACATCAAAATTTGACACAGAACTCAAACTTTAGGTGTGATATGTAAATACAAAGAATTCGTGGGGTATCATATGTCATATATATGCAAATCTAAAGCAGACAACAAAAAAACTTTAGGTGTTAGATATGTAAATACAAAGAATTCAGAAATATGCAAGCCTTGCATGGATTTCAGATAGCAAAAATGGTTTCAAAGGTGAAGATACCATTTGACTCCCTCTTCCTTCTTAATCTTTCATTTTCTACCAATGTTACATAACACAAATAAATAACATTAATATAACAAAGACATTTAAGCTACTTCATGCCACCAGCCGCACCAAAGTTTGACATAAATGTTAGAACTCAAACCTTAGATATGTAATAATGTAAATACAAGGAATTCGAGCACTCTTATAAATGAATAAATAAATAAATAATAGAAAAAGTTTAGCTTTAATGGACAGAAAAAAATTAAATAGCAAAATACTTCAATATAATGTTCTGTTTTGAATTAACTAGAAATGAAACCATTGTTCATAATCTGTTCGCACTCTATCATCAAAGCGAAGCAACTGTAATAGTGTTTCTCGAAATAACCTCCAAAATAATTATTCGGACAATTTCACATCCAGATTTCTTTCTTTAGAATCTCTTGCTGATAAAAATATTTATCATAATTAGTTATGAGAAAAAAGATAAGCATATTCTAAGAAATTTAGTAAGTGGAGATATTGCCAAGAGAGTGAAGACAATTTTTTTTGTAGAAGAGCGTAATCCAACTAGATGCACAAATAAGTGCATTTACTGTTTTTGTGAATAAAGAACTCCTATAGCCATGTAGAACTCTCCACCTGCACTAAATGTGAATTATGATACAGCTATCGTTATAGGAATCATCAAAATATCTTTCACCGTTTTAGACAAACAAGAATACTTGTGAGTATTCAACTTCCACCATTTAGGAACATCAAAATGATCATAATTGGTCATAAACAAACCCTCCTCAAGATAGATTCGCAAATCCGACTTGGATGCATGAATAGAGCCCGATGATACAACAAAATAATTGAAGTCAAGCATACAATCAAAATTCTGTGGAAAACTCAAGTCATTTGGCAAGTGTGAAGACACATTGCCACTTGTTGAATTAAAGCTGGTTAATTAAAAATCCATTTTTTTCCTTTTTGAGAAAAATGGGGGCCATGCTCAACTTCACCATGAAAAAAAATTCAGATGCACTTATGCCCCAAAAAGAAAAGATAACTTTAAATAAAAAGAAAGTAAAACCAAATGAAAAAATAGAAAATAGAATTTATAAGGAGGTGACTCAAACGAGCTCAGAAATCCAGCCCAAAAGACAAGCACCTTCTAATCTATTACTATAAAGTAGAAATATGCCTTAATTGAAATCATTATGTGGATAGCGTCAGCAAATATAGAGGCCTTCCAAAACAACTGTTTGAGTTTTTCCATAGTTGGATATCAACATTGCTCGCACAAAAAAAGAAAGAAAAGCAAGTGCAGGATGGCTAATGTTGTGAGATATGTACTTCCTGGCATAGAAATAAGACAAAAAAAGAACACAAACAAGCACAGATCGTTTACATGGTTCGATCCAACTGGATCTACGTCCATGGAAGGGAATCAATCAAATATTTCACTAAGGCAAAAGAAATGGAGAATACATAGCTTATACATAGAGATGGGCCCTCATCTTCCTTCTATGACCTCCCTCTCAAGCGACACCTTGATACAAGGTCTCAAGATGTTCTCCTCCTCTCTAGCTCTCTAGCTATTCTCTCCTCCTTCGTGGTAGCTTAAGATCTCTTCCCTTTCTCTCCTAAGCCTCATACCCTCTCTATTTATAGAAGCAAGAGAGTGGTAGATGGGAGGTAGGTGAGCGGTAGATGAGCGGTAGGTAAACGGTAGGTGAACGGTTGGTGAGATATGGTAGGTGAGCGGTACCACATTACAAAAGTGTCCTTTTATCTTAGTTCATTAATTGGGGGTCAAAATAACAGCTAAGAATTAAGTGTAGTATCATGTTGAGAGCCGACAGACCGAAAATAACCAAAGCATACAAACTCAATTTGAAAGAATCAATATTGGAGAGTAATTTTGATGCGAGAGCATATCGCAAATTGCATGATTGATCCAATCCCAGTCACATGATTTCCATGATTTCTGGGTTTCACCTGCTATGCTCTCGAGATCGCTGGTGATCAAACTAGGCCGCCCGATTTCTTATTCCAACCCGATTTTCTTTCTTTTTAGTTTATTTCCAATTAAATTATTTTCTATTGTGAGGCATTTACATCTTGGTATTAGAATTTTGGATTTCAATTTTGTTGAGTTTATGAATTTGGGAGATTTCTTTGAATTTTTCTCTTTGGAGTGATGCATGCTCTTCTTTTTGTGAGTTGTGTGCCTTTATATTGCTTAGGAGCAGGTGGTGGAACCTTCTCGATGACCATGACTTGCAGATTCACCTTATGATTGTTGTTTTCAGCCGAGATAGCAGTCGGATGATGCTTATCCCCATCAAAACATCATCAAACTTGCATATGATCTTTCCCTTGTCACTTCACAACCACATCAATTCAAAACCTGCTTCTCAAATACCTTCTAAGGGTCCTATAGCTGTATTATTTGGTACCCAAGCACGAAAACGCAAATTTTTTTGAGACTTGTCTTTTTAGCCCAAAATCTATAATTCTCATACGAAAATTTTTCAGCAAACCCAAAATTTGCGTTTGTTGAAAATTTCCAATTGAGGATGACGATTTCAAAGAGGAGTCTCAATTTTCAGTCGACAAGAAAGAGATGCTAGTTATTCAAGCCAAATCCATGAGGGAGACTCCAATTAAATTAACATTATTTGCTCTAGTAGATAGTGAGTATGAAAATCTGATACCAGAAAAAAGGCAGCCCTTATTGAGATAATTATTGGATATCCTAACCAATAGTTTATCTCTTGGGAGGTTTCTATTTAGAATGATCCAATATGCCATATATTTTATTTTATGGCTAGTTCTTTCGGACATACTTGTTTATTTAATATTTTCAGATAAGTATGAGAAGTGGGAGAAGCAGGTTACAGATATAATGTCTTGAGACTTGGTTCTTTAGAATATCCTTATATGTGTATTTCTAGCTCAGATTATGCCAAAGAAAGATGTTTATTTATTCTATCATAACAAACTTTGGAAGAACGTATGTATTTTGGAGTTGCTTGAAATAGAAATGAGCATAAATTTTATAGACATGTTGTCTCAGCCACAGATGCAATGACTTTTTTATGAGAGTGGTAGATCAATTGCAAAAGTTTAAAGAGAAGAAGAAGCCTTTTGTAACCAGAAAATGATGTAAAAATATATCACAAACCTATTGTGGGCATCTGTGATCTCGTTGCAGATATCCCGTCATGAGATTTCTATGATTTTGGGTTCCGCCTACTACGTCCTTCACAATCACGGGTGATAAAAAAAGGTCGCCCTGTTTCCCATTCAAATCTAATTTTATTCCTTTTAGATTTATT